TTTCATGGACAGACCAATATGGTTACCATATTCAATGACTGTGCCTCTGGTCTCCTGGTGATATTATAATTCAGTTGTGGGACACCCTGCACCCCCATATACACATACCATATTATTTAGTTTGCTGTACCAATTGGTGTGAACTTCAAAGTCACAAAGCAGTGTGACAGCAGGGACCAGAGGCAGCTTCAGCAGTCCAACTTGCTCCCAGTGAGCACTGTAGAGTGGACTCTTGCTTTCTCCTCACAGATGACTTCCTGTAATAGAGACCCATCAAGAACTTGGGTTTGATTCATGTGCAGAAGTCACAGGGAGTGAGATTTGGGAGCTACCTGGGAAATACCTCCCTAAAAATGAGGCTAATGGACAGTTGAGGTGGGCCTTACAGACAAGGACGCATCCTGCCTCTGAAGGATGGAAAGCAGAACATTCCCATGATGCCTTGCACAGCACGCTGAACTAAAATGACCTCCCAGGTTCGTTCCAATGCAAAACCCCTCAGAGCTTGAGAAAAAACATCCAGTGAATCTGCTCCGCAAACACACAGACGCTATATAAACATGAGGCAAATATTTTAAAAGCCGAAGAATGAGATACTTGTACTTCGGGGAGAGCAGGGGTTGGAATTTGGTGCCCAGCAACATACCTTCCATGCCCAGCAGCCTGCAGTTTGTCTTCATTGGCCCTCACACAGTTATCTGCATTATGTGTTGAAAATGCTCTCAGCCAAAGACCAAGCAAACAGCTAATGGTATTTTCCTATCAGAGTGCGTTTATGAGGCAGAGCAAAAGACAAAACTGTTGCTTTTGATTGTTGGCAGAGAGCCAGTGCTGAGCTGCAGAGCTCCAGAGTTTACAAGGAAGAATTTTTACTTTACAAAGAAGAAAGAGGAGGAAAATTTTTTTTTAGCTGAAATTGAATTAAAATTAAACCAGCAAAAACTCAAAATTCAGATCAAAGAATAGTCTGAAACACAAATGGGTTATGTCTTAGGATCTCAGATGTGCTTTTAGTACGAGGATGAAAGTTTTTAAAGCAGGGATTACGTAATTAATGACAAAACCACACAGTATTTGAGCTGGATGAGCTGCCCCCAAACTTGATATGAACTACCCAAGGTCACCTGGCATGTTGCCAGAGTTCTGGGACTAGCATCCAGGACTCTGGAGAATCTTGTTGTATCTTAGGTAACTTTACAGAAGCAGCAATCAATGAAAAATCTGGTTTCATATGAGTAAGAGGTGGATAAAGATAAGAAAGACAAACAGCAGCTGCCCTCTGAGTTGGAAGCATCTGGGTGGCCAGAATGGGACCAGTCTCTAGGACCAGCAGTACTTGCTGTGGCACTGGGACTGCCGTGGCTTGCAGTCCTGTTCTCTCCTTTTTGATATGAGTCTGAACACATTGGAATTGCACTTGAACACCACTATTTATATAAAAGAACTCCCCTGAAGAACTAACTCCTCCTTGCCATGCTTAGTTAACTTTGTTCATTGAAATCACCAGCCCTTATGTGAATGGTGGGTGCTATCTTCTGGAGGAATGAACGGGACTGAGTAACCTAAAGGTGGGGAATGGAGGTGGGTGGGTGTCTGCACCAAGACCCCTAAGAGTTCACTGTCACCTTTGACCGTTCATTGTTCTTGGTTTATTTTCTTATCTGTTTATATCCTGATTCCAAAAACACATTTGACAGCTTAAAACAAAGAGCATATATACTGTATATAATAAAATCAAAATAGGATGAGGTCTCAGTAAAAGAGAAAACATATAAGATCTATGTTGAATATTGTTTCACTCTGACTTTTCTAGTAACCAGGATAAAAAAAGATGCACACAAATCCCTACTTATCAGAAAGGGGGAACATCCAGTTTCTTCAAGAGTAACTAAGTGCTGCTATTTTGGGCTCAGGACTTTAGTAAACACTTATGGAAGACTTTCATGTGCTTAAGGCCAAGCTCGATGCCCAAGGGTCACCCTCCTCCTCTTCTCTCCCTTTCTTGACCTTGCTTCAGGCCACCTGGAGTGCTGAAGAAAACACTGTCAGCACTGTGGCAGGCTCTTTTTGTACATTTCCAGGCATGGCTTGGGCTTATGGGCTGTAGTTTGGTCTTGGTTTCATTATGATTGTTTTGTCTAGTGTAGCTCTGGGATTGCAGACTCTGGTCAGGCACAGGCAACTTTGGGAGAGTCAGGCCTGTTGTGGCTACCAAGGATCCTACCAATGGAACTTTCCCTTGGTGTTCCCTCGTCCTTATCTGACCCTCTCCCTCTGTGTGATGCTACTTTTGTGGACAGAGCATCTGCAGGGAATGGGGCTCTGCAGAATATACTTGGGCAAGTGGACTCATGATCAGTAGGTGACATGATCATGTGTTATAGTTTCAGACCTTCTTGTCCACCAATGGGGAATAAAGCTAATGGCTCCATAGATCTGTAGGATTCAGATACACAAAGTAAATACAACTGAGGTCCCACCCTCAGCTCCTAAGTGCTATTCTGAAATAACATCAAGAATACAGACTGCTTCCAGAAGAAGGAAGAATCAGTGTAGAGATTTCCTTCCTTTTACTTGCCTGGAAAAGCTGTCCATTCTTTTAAAAAATATCTATTTTTTTTTTATTTTTTTAATATTTTATTTATTATTTTTATTTTATGTGTATGAGTGTATTGCCTGCATGTAGGTAAGTGCACCTGTGTCATGCAATCCCTGTGGAGGACAGAAGAGGCCATCGATCCCCTGAAACTGGAGTTACAGACAGTTGTTAGCTGCCGTGTGGGTACTGGGATTTGAACCCGGGTCTTCTGCCAGAACAACCAGTGTTCTTAATCACTGAGCCATCTCTCCAGCCCCTTTATTTTTATTTTATGTGTATGAGTGTATTGCCTGTATGTATGTAAAGGCACCTTTGTTGTACATTACCATGGAGGTCAAGAGAAGAGTGTCAGATTTCCCTGGAACTGGAGTTACAGATGGTTGTTAGCAGCCATGTGGGTGCTAGAATCAAACCTGGGTCCTGTGCAAGGGCAGCCAGTGCTCTTAACCGCTATCCCTCTCTCCAGCCCCCCAAAGCTGTCCATTCTTAACTCCCTCTTCATGTCCCTAAGACTTGGAGCCTATCAAAGAATATTCCAGGACTCCCTAGAATGTACGTGTGGGAGGAAAAGGAGTTACAGAGATCTGATGTGTTGGGATTTTGAGTAGATGGTGTGAGGGAAAAACAGAGAAACACCACCAGAAGTTGCCCTTCTTACCAGGATATAGATGAAATAATGACTAGAAAATCATGGGTTGTTTCTGATTTGAGGTTTGGGGATTGTATTGTTTTGGGAAAGATTGGATTTTTTGTTTTTGCTTAGAAAATTTTTAGATTAACAACTAACTTTAGGGATGGGGAGGTGGCTCAGTAGCCTACCACCAAGCTTGACAACCTGAGTTTTGTCACTGGGACCCACATGCGAACAGGAGAGATCTGACTCTAGAAAGCTGTCCTCTGACCACCTCACTCTTGTCATGGTGTGTGTGTGTGTGTGTGTGTGTGTGTGTGTGTGTGTGTGTAAATAAGCAAATAAATAAACGTACTTTTAAAAGTTTTTTTAAAGGCTATGAGAGGGTGCCATTTGGGATGTGGGCATAAAGATGAATAAGATTGTTTGTAATATTCCGTATGAAATACACACAAAAAAAGAAAGAAAGAAAGAAAAAAATCCAAAAAAAAAGTTTTTTTAAGGACTAACTTTAAACGAGAGATTTCACACAATCATCTGAATTTTCAACATTTGTGCTTTGTGTTTGTATTTTCTTCTTTTAAAACAAATTGTTCTAATTTCATTGTCTATATTCATTATACATGCTACTATGCTGTATAAGGACATGTTCATACAAGTATGTATTGTGGGGCTGGAGAGATGGCTCAGCAGTTAAGGGCACTGACTGCTTTTGCAGAGGACCCAGGTTCAATTCCCAGCACCCACATGGCGGCTACGCACTGTTCTTAACTCCAGTTCCAGGGGAATCTGAAGCCCTCTTCTGATCTCCGAGGCATTGCACAACACAGGTGCACTCACATACGTGCAGGCAATACACTCATACATATAAAATAAAAATAATAAATAAAATACTTAAAACAAACCACGTATGTATTGTATGTTGAGCATATTTCTCCCATATCTCCCTATCCTCCTCTTATTCCTCCCTCCTCCCATTAGTGCCCTTTGTTCCCTTAGTTTAGCTTCTATGTTCATGGCACAGAGAGAGAGGGGGGAGAGAGAGAGAGAGAGAGAGAGAGAGACCTGATTTTATGTGTATGTATAAAATCTGGGACTTGCATGTGAAAGAACAATATGATATTTGTTTTTCTGAGCCTGGCTTAATTCACTTCCTATAACTGTAGCTATCTCCAGTTGCAGTGGCTTTGTCTCTGAGTGTAAGCAAACATCTCCTCCAAACACC